ATTTTTTATATTATTATAAAATTTTGTTTTATATTTGTATTTTATAAGGTCTTATATTGCAAGCTGCTAGCACAAATGAGGTACTTTGAGCTACCTGACAATATTTTTACTAGCTTTAAGAGCTTTGATTAGAGACCCTTCGTCTTGTACAAATTGCACTGCACATTGTCAGACCCTGCAATACCTCTTGGGTTATTCTAATCAATGCAGTACGATGCTGAAGGTGATGTGCCAGGTGATGATAAAGCAATACAGTTAGTACCAATCTGGCTTCTGCTATCTTCCAGCCCCCTAATCCTGAGAGCTCAGCACCTTGCAGAGGAGGGAAGGTGGCCTTTTGTACAGATCAGGTTTGAGAACTTCATCTCACATGGGATTTCTTCAAGAACCCCTTGTTGCAACCCCTCTTCCTGTGTCCTTTCCTGAAATTGTGTGCTCAACTATGTTTTGCACTCACATTAACTCTTTCCTAACTGTCTACCCTGAAAGGGCCAAAATAAACCTGCACTAATCTCTGAGAACGAGGGTTCACGTTGCTTTTGCAGAAACAATCTTAACAGCAGTCCGGTTTTAACACTTCAGAAGAATTCCTTGTAAGCCAGCATACTGACCCCATGGGCCACCAGAAAAGCTGTGGGTGACTCCTGTCCTCCCTCCTACCTCCTGCTACGGAGCTTCCACAGAGCAAGCAGGCATCACTGACTTTACCAAAGGCAAGACTTGCTCCGTTTCCTTTCGATTCTGCTCTCTGCAGGGCAACTCTGTAACCTGGAGCCGAGCACAAGCTTCATTTCTCTCCATTCTTTCTTACTCTTAGGAGTCTGGGATACCAACAACATGCACTACCCCCTGAGCTCCAAATATGGCTATGCCTTGCTTTCCTCCCAGCTCACTAAGACAACGTGCCATTGTATTTCTTGTGGTTGTACGTAGCAGGCGTTCAAGAGATGCCATGCTTTCATCAGCCCAGTCTCCCAGGGATGCTTTGAAACATCTCGTGGCATCTACCAGAAATGTATAAGCAGAGCTGCACAGTATGTGTCTGTCAGCATGTGATTGCCATCAAACGGGTGGAGGTATTGCACCACCACATCTCCCTGAACCATTATGGTAGTTTAACCAAATGCATTTTATTTTTCAAATGGGAGAGTTCCAGCAAGATGCTGCTTTTTGACTGTGTCAAGGTTGGCACACAAGGGACAGCACATCTGCCTTATGCATTCATCAGGACTATGGGCCACCAGAAGTGCCTTTGATATTTTCATGGTTCTCCAGAAGAAAGCAAAGAAGCATATTACATTCTTAGTTAATGCTGACCCAATTACTACTGATTTTAGAGAGAAACTGAAATTCTTCTCTGCCTTACAGAGGAAGCCAGTAGCTTCAAACAATAGCATGTTATCTTGATGGGTAAAAAATAAAACATCATGACAATGATAGATGCTACAATAATTTTATGGTTTATCACAGTGCCTATCAAAACACTTAAATAAGCATGGCTTTTTGCTCTCTGTGACTTTACAAATAACACTATTTTTAAAGTAATAAGAAGAATCCTGGCTTTGTTCAAAATTACACTTACTTAAGAAGTCCTTGCCCAGATGAATTGAGAAAGAAACTCCCAAGAACAAAACCACATAAAAAATGAGCTCATCTATACCTCATTTCAAGAAAGGTGGAAATGGAAGGTTTTATATGGAATTATGCTCTGCTAGTTTTTCAGCACTCTCCTAATACTGCTTGTACAGCGGTGGTGTTCTCCATGGGGTGACGGCTTTGCCTGCAAGAGCTCTCTTAGATCAATGCAGGAAATAATTACACCATCACAGGGAGGAGTGATGTGAGTGTGCGATGGTCATGGTGAGGAGCAGCATATATTGCATAAATTTCACAGACCTAGATGAAAAAAAGGAGAGGAAGGAAGGAAGGAAGGAAGGTTGGTTGCAGGGGGGAGGTGCCATGCGAGTGCATTGGGAATCACAGGGGAAATCTCAGCCACACAAGTGAGGCAAAACCTCCATTCCCAGGATGGAGATGTATCATGATGACAGTGAGGAGGTTTCTATCATCAATGGAGATCACACTGATAGAGTCCACATGGATGCGAGGGTGGAAGGTCTTGTGGCTCCCACAGGGAGAGAGCAGGGAAAGATAACTCTTTATAACATATTATTGGTCAACGTGTATAAAAAGGAAGGGCTGGAGAAAGCCTGTTTGTGAAGAGGATGAAGGACAAAATTAAGAGAGTGTTTGAGTGAGCCAGGCAAACACAAGCAGCCTTTACAGCACATACCTTCAAGGTGAAGCCACATTAACCGTCCTTTAACTGAGGTGATAGAAGCGACACATATCTCTGCAGGGTTCCTGGGGTTCACTGCCTCCAGCTTCATGTTCTTAGTAAAGCCACGGCTGAAGGATGTCTGAAAGAAGCAAGGACCAACACTGAAGCACGGCACTGAAGCACTGCATGACTGTAATTAGGCTCTCCACCGGGAAGCGTAAATCTAGCATGGTTTGCACTGGAAGTCCAGGACAGACTCAAGACCATACAGGCATCCAGATTGAAAATGGAGCTGCCCTGGACATCTATATGAAAAAACAATGATGGCAAAAAAACAGGAAGCAATGTAATTCATGGTTTATGCCAATTCCTAACTCTCAGAGATTCCTAACTCTCAGAGGAATTCCTCCTCTCAGAGGAGGTTACTCCACACCAGGTCCAAGTGTATTTGAATGCTTGCTAGTGATGCATTTGCTGTGCACCATTGTTGACGGGAAATTACACAGAGGGTTCCCAAATCTGATGAGCTTGAGCATCTCTCACCTTGCTAGGAGAAACCTTTTAAACAAATGACCCATCTTGCCTGAGACCAGAGATACTTCTTCACATATTCAGTTGCCCAAGCTGACTGAGGCTGGAGAAATCTGAGTAACCTATTCCAGTACTGATTACTTGATTCCTTCATGGAGTATTTAAGATCAATGTACAAGGTCCTCTCTGTAGACTTCAGGTATACAAGTTCACTAGCTGCAGCTGGGTGTAGACAGAGCCAAGTTGGGTTTACTGCTACAGCAATACTTCTGCATGCTTAAATACAGCACCAAAGAAACAGGTCTTTCATGGATTATCGGAGGCCCCCACTGCTGTCCCACTCTTCTCCAGTGAAGGCAAAGTCAGACCAAATACTACAGCAATGATCCCCAAATGAGTGGTCATCACTCCAAATAAGAAACACAGGACCAGAATGTGAGGTCATGGGTTAGAGAGGATGCAGCATCCCCCACTGCACTACGTGTTTGGGAGCCTGAGAGAAACTGCAGTTCAAATCACTCGGGTACCACTGCTGTAGACTAATGTGTGCCTCAGCAAACCGCTTCATCCTGAGGCTGGTTTGGCACGTGAGAGCAGCAGGCTCACCCCTAGCATAACAACCAGAGCTCCACTTTGTAGCTGCTGCAGGGGATGCCAAGCCCAAGACCCTAAAAGCCTCCCCAAAAACTTTCTTCACAAGCCAAGCCTCAAGCTACTCCTCACATGCTTTCATCCTTACCCTCTGTCCCTTCCAGTGTCCCCTCTCCTTTCACTTATGCTCAGTCCCTTCCCAACATCCCCACCACCACTATCCCTAAAATGCACAGATGCAATACCTGTGGCCACACCATAGCTTCCTTTCCTTGCATCTTCCTCCCCTCCATCCTATTTGTTCCATCAGCTGTGAGTGCCTGCATTTCAACGTTTGCACGCAGTAGCACAAAAAGATTCCCCTTCTCAGCTGAGATTTTGGCTAATAACAATTAGGATGGGTAATAACTGTCGCCGACTCAAAATGACAGCAAACTCTCATCCAGCAACCCCAAGTGGAGCAACTGGAAGCCAGATTCAAATACAACCCTTCTGCCACTTGTACAGCACCTAGGACCATGAGCAACTTCACCTTGAACAATTAGCTCTTTGTGAGACTGAAAACTTCTGGATTTGGTCTTTTTTTTTTTTTCATCAAGAAGCCTTCCACAAACATGCTCCTAGTCTCCAATGTTGCTTGGACTGTCAGCAGCCTTGCTCAGCACACAGAGCAGCTTCACCCTGTAAAAGCTGCCAATGGCCACGACTGCAGAAAAGCCAGGTCAGTTTGTTTAAATGCCTTTTATATTGCCTAACAAGGAAACGCCATTTATCATCACACGGGCTCCTTTCACTGCAGTTCGGTGCTGGAGGCTAATTTATACAGAATCAACGACAAAACAGTTAGCTGGGAGTTTATTTTACTAAGCATTTGGTCATGTCAATCCATTTCATAACTGCCTCTCCTTGTTAAATATCCCCCCCGGGGAAACAGTTACAGCATATCCACTTCCAGCACCACGTCTGGCTGCACGAGGTGGAAGATGTGCTTGCAATACAGCTTCTATCAAAGAGCCGCTCGCAGCCACAAAACAAATGGACCGACCTGCCAGGGAGGCTGTGCAAGGGACAACAGCGAGATTACATCTCTGCAGAGAACTGTGTTATCAAGAGTGAAAGAATAACAGACATATGTTCATCTGATGAATGCTTCCTCAAAAAAAAAAAAAAAAAAACAAAAGGAAAAAAGTTCTTAGACCTGATTTAATCTTCGGAGGATATTACGCAGAGACTCAAGGCGTCCAGTGTTGAGAGCACAGATCCATTATTTGACAAAACGAAAAGAGATACAAAGAAAAGGGAGGTGTGCTTGCAGAAATGAAGAAATACAGCAGCTGACCCACTGTATTGGTGTGATGCAGCATTGTCCAGCTTCCCTCAGCACTTTCTGAAATCTTTGCTTAAAGTCCCTTGAGGCAGGGGGTTTTGTATAGGATTGCACAGTAAATGGGGCAAAGAAATCCTAACTCTGATTTGATTCCCAGGCCGAACTCTGTTGATGATACAGGTTTTCTGAATTCATCAACAAAAAGTGTTCAAACTCATCAATTCACCATCAAAGCTCTGTTTCAAGCCAGGCTGCCTGTGGGCCCACCACACATGAATGAGGAAGACAATTTCACAGGTTCCCACACACCATGCAAAAACATGGCTAGTCTCTTGGGAAACTGTCTGAATTCTGCTTTTGATAAACATCCTGCGCCCCGGTCTCATGACCGCTGAGCACAGTGAAAGTAACTCCCAGAGGAACCTGCTTCTCCACTGCTCACAACACCGCTGTACTCTGCAAACCCTTCTGCGCTCATTTTAGGTACCACCACATTCTCAGTTATTGATGGGATCTCAACTTCCATCAGTTGATGGACGCATGAAGAAGAGCATCGGGTTACTGGAAAAAGCAGAAGGCTACATCTGCCTTTCATGAATACCTGTTGGATCGAGCCATGCCAGACTGTCATTGCCACAATACAGCCTGCAAAAGACTGTTTCCAAATTCCTGAATCTTGATGGCCTCCTGCTGCTCATTCTCACATCGCTGTTGCTGTCTCAAGGAAGCACATGAACTGTCCCAAAGACCAGAGCATCCATGTGGGTTCATCACTTTTCTTACACTCTTGAGCTCAACAGCTTCAATCCTTGCTTTTACATGCATTTGGTTGGGTTAAATGTGTCCCTTTGGAAGCCAGAGAAAACACCCAACATGTAGAAAGGGACAGATGATATAATGCATTTTTTTTTTTTTACCCAGTGTATGCTTTTTCAATAGCACTTGAATTACTTGTAATGGTCAGAGATCCTTCTGGTGCTAGGTGCTGTACAAAATCAGAGGGGAGATGAAGAACAGGAAACCTAAATGAATCAGATAAAGACAATGGTAAGATAACATTTTTTTCTCTTTTAGGGATGGAGACCTGAAGCAGTTTTCCAGCTTCCTTCCTAAGACAGCCTCAGGCTGGTCTGGAGGAACCTCTCAAAGCCTTGCTGCAGCTTTTCTGTGCAAGCTATTTTGTTTCACATGGATGGACAGGAGCGATGGCAAAGACAAAAAGAGAACTTACGTTTCTGAAGCAGAGGTGAGGCGCTGCCTCTGCTCCACACTGCTTCTGGTAGTCTGCCCAGTCAAAGTCCTGGCCAGAGTAACCTACAGGGTGACAAAACAGAAAATGCCATCAGCCACCATTTCACACCTGAGCGAGAGCATGAAATGGGCTCCAAGGAGTCTACTGTTTGTGTTTCAGCACCCCATCCCACCTCAGTGAACCACGCAGGATCAGCGGGCACGTTCTCTGGGTGCCTTTGTACCCCACGAGAGCCAATGCCAAAGCTTCTCCAGCCCCCACTCGCACACCTTCTCCATTTCACTTTGAAAACTCCGTATCTTCATTAAAAAGCAATAAAACATACTTGTTTTCTTGATTTTCCCTTTCCTGTGAGCATCTGAAAGGCTTTAATAAGGACTTTTTTCTCCTTTGTTTAGCTGTCACAAGTTGGACATCAAGAGTCCCTCAGCAGTGGACAGGGAGAGGACAATCAGAAGCTGATCCATCCTCTCCCTCAAAGCATGAAATAAATTCTATTCCCTCTTCATTGACATGGGTGTACCCTATGTGAATGACTTTCCAGCAGTTCCACATATGTGGTCTGAATCCCATCATAGTAAGCATGTTATCCAAGGCTGTATGGAAATCTGGAGGAGTGCAAGAAAATGAACCCAGATTTCCCAGCTCCCAGACTAACGTCTCAGCAGCCAGATGATCCCTTCAGCCTCTACTTCTAGGACAGAAAGGAGAGCAACTTTGATTTATATGGGCATCTCTAACAGTCCCGTCAAAGAGAGACAAAACAGACTTCTGCTCATCTATTCTTCTTACCTGGCTATTTAGGCTATTTAGGGACAGAAAGAGGGGTTTTGCTGCTTTTTTTTTTGTGTGCTTTGGGGGTTTTTTCATCTGCCTCAGCCTGGTTTTAAGGTGCTTGAAACCAGTGAGTGCTAATCCTGTCCAGGACCCTGTGATGATACTGTCGATAGTGTAACAATGCTACTGCAGAACTACTCTCACTGGAAAGTTTCGGGAATCATCTAGAGGCCAAATTCTCCCCTCCATCTCCCTGCCTCGCATCTCAGCCTGGCCTCATTTCACTAGATCAGATGGGAATGAAACACTTATGACAATGAAAATTGTGAAATTTTTTTGTAGGCAAGAAAGGGACTGGAATACTGAGTGGAGTCATCTTTTGGCCACCCAGATCCAAAAAAGGAGGTAAAAATTTTACAAATAAAGTCCCAACATCCTGCTAAGATGCAAATACCTGGGATAAGAGGAACTTCTAATCCTAAAAACTGCATATATGACAAATAAACTAATGAGATAAAGCCTTGAGCAGAGAGGGCCCTAAAAGGTGCCTGTCTCCATGGGGCATCAAAGTGTATAATAATTGGAAAGACACAAATAAACATGCACAGGGAAGTAAAAACAGGCAATTACTTATAGAGAATGTTCGTCATACAAAAAAGAAATAACCTTGCGCTGGTTTTAACAACCAATTTCTGCAACAGTATTTTCTTTCTGCTTTTTCTCCATCTCCTTCTTGCTCTCCAATTATTTGTTTACCAGAAACTTTCCAGCTTCGTAAAATGAAATGGAAAACATGAGGAGAAGTGCACATCACATCAGAAGGGGATTCATCTGATTGCGTGCAGATTTTTGCAGTGGAGATGCTTATAGCTGTGCCTGTCACCCTGGGTTCCCTAAAGTCAATGGAGAAACAAGCAGATCTAGAGGTCGTCTGTCTGTCCTCCTGCAGAAGGAGCAGAATTGCCCTGTGAAAGTCCCTCTCGCCCTCCATTGACTCCAGAAGCAGCTACAGTGATGGGCTCAGGTGAGGACAGTCACAGCACAGCTGTCTACATTGAATCCCCTGGGGTCCACCTCATCTGCCAGAGCACAGTGTCCCCAGAGACCCAAAAGCCTGCTTATGGACAGGTTTTGAATTTTAATTCCAAGCTATGCAAAATCTTGGCAGAGTGGATGGAAAAACCACCACACAACCATCTATTGGCTTGGCCCTGCATCACTGAAATTGTTGGAAGACCTTTTGCTGTAGACTTCAGCATGAACAAAACCCAGGAGAGCAGCTAGAGCATTTGCCATAACTCACTTCATCAACCCAATGAGGATGATACTCAGGAACCAGCTTCAAACAATCCTAGACCTGTAGATGGCCTTTCCATGGAGCACCACAACATAAGCTAAATGTGTATTTCCATTAGCACATGGCACTGACATACTGTTATCCTTTAAGGCTCAGCCCAAGTAATAACGTTCAAAGCTTCGCTTGCATGATCCCCATGCATGTAAAACTCCTTGTGTTTTCTACCTTGACTCTCAGCACAAGAGCCCAGCACTTCAGTCAGAAGCAAATACAACAATACAAATGAGTTGGAGGTTTTGGAAGTGGCATTTCCTTTGCAATCCTTACAACTAGGAGCACTATTGAAAGGGTTTTACCCTTCTTAATAGCTCATAAAAAGGAACCATGGTTGTTACTGTAAAGGGAAGTGGTCTATAAATCCAGCTCTAATAAACATAAACAGCGCTTGTTCAATGTTTATACAGCAGCAGTAAATGGATATTCATTTTTGGCACTGTACAGGAAAATACTGCTCTGTATTTCTAGCAGCAAATGTTTGCACCTCCTGTTCACGACTCATCTACTGTAAGTTTGGCTTCTACAAAGGCCTGATGGGCAAAAAGGCAAGAGAATGGATATCAGAGAAATAAAGGACTCCGAACCCAAATACCCTAAACTGGCACGTTGTTCTGATGAAATAAAATCAGTTCACTTTAAAATCAGGGAACCTCCATGTCAACAACAAATTAAGCAAAAAAACCAAGCACTGAAATACAATAGAGCAAAGAAACTCTTTTGACAAAAGGACTTCTGCCATTGTTCTTTTGCTCCATGGGATCTTCTTGCCTTTCAACAGGGAGAGTCATGACGAAATATTGTCAAAATATTCTCTCTTAATGGTGATGTTGGTCAGGAATGAGTGAGCACTGGGAAAGCAGGAGGCTGGTCAAATCTGGCGTGAGAAGGGGCAATTCTGGACACCCCAGGGCAGGCAAAGCTGTCTGGTGATTTGGGTGGAAATGGTGGGATTTTCTCCTCCTTCTGCAGACCTGCTCACCAGCAGCCAGCTCACACCACAGCCTTCCTCGCTTTCACAGCATTGCAGCCCTCTCCCATCAGTCCTGGTTACTTCTTTATCCAAAGCTGATATTTTTCTGCTCAGAGAAGACCCCCTCAATGGGGGTTTTGATGCTTTTCACTTTCCCTCTGCTTGGTTTTTGGTGGTTTGTGATTATTTTTTTTTTAATAAATTGTTTTGATATCTGGTTATATTTCAGTGACCCAAAGAGCGTGTCTGCCAATGGAAGAGGTTTTTGACACCACAGGTGCTAAGATGCAGTTTGGGCATGCATCCCTCACACAATATAAGAAATACGGCAATATATAACATGGATCTACCTGCCACTTGGCTTATGCCCTTTTAATAGCTTCCCTCTCGGATTTCTGATCTCACAACAGAAAGAGGATTTTATTTTTATCAGGGGAATGAGGAGAGAGTTCCTTCACCTTCTCATGAGCCCAGGCAGACCCCAGTCATCAGACACCACACCAGATACCTACTTGCCCCTCTGACTTTACTGGACAAGTTGAGAAATATCCATATGATGGAGGCTACAGGCACTTCTAAAAACACGGGCATCTAAAAGAGAGTTTGCATGCACCTGACCTGTAAAACACCATCTCAGACAAGCTTTGTACCAGCACGGATTGGAAATTATCAGGCCATGACCCTAAGAGAAACGTCTTGCCTGTGGTCTACTTTAGTTAATTAGCTGGCCTGGGGGAAGCTGCATGTGAATTTGGGGTGGAAAAACCAAAACATTCCATTTATTTTCATTTTTAGCAACTCTTCTGGCCAATATCAGTGAGCGCTTACACAGGCATTATCACTACACCTGGATTTAAGCAGGAGGGAGCTGAAGCATCCAGACAGCCCATTTATTTCAGTAAAAGCAACAGAGTAATCACGGATGCTCTGCATGCAGCTGCACGCACAGGACTCCAGGACTTTGATGGGAATTACAAATTACATCTTTTGAAGAGACAGTCTGGATATACATAAGAGGACTCTGAATCTGGTGGGGAATAACCCTTCACTTCCCTAGGTTTGGCAGCAACATACTTTTTCCATAATCAAAACAAATCTGCACGCACAAAACTCTGTGAGTTTGTTGGGGTTTTTTTGAGGCATTTCTTTTTCCCCCAAGAAACACCAGCTTTTGGCAAAGGGTCAACATCCCAGCCAGCTTCAAAAATCTACAAATTCCAGAGAACCAATGCATTATGCAAGTGAAGAAATATTGGTAGGACACCACAGGTGGCTGTCTGAAATCGCAAGTAATTAACTGCACTGCTACGAAGCTGGGAAATAGCACGGTTGGAGGCTGTTTCTCCTGGCTCTGACCTGAACCACTGCTCGCAATTTGCCCTCACCTGGGATTTTCTGAGACAGCTAAAGAAATGCCTACACACTCTTGGGCAGGCAGCTGTGAGTTTAGACTTTTAGATTTAGAAGCTTTGCTTGGCCTCGGCGTTGTACCAAGGTGGATGTCACAGGGAGATGCCTGGTTTGCCTCTAGCATGACATGACTTTCAATGCTCCTTTTGCTCTCTACGCAGACAAAGCATCGCTAAGATGCATTTTACAGGAATTCATTAGGCTTTGGACATCAGTCCACCACTGTTTTTTTGCAGAGATGCTCACGTGGTGGTATGAGTCAGAACAGCCCCGGTGACTCCAGAGAGCTACTCTGTCTCGAGATACTCAGGGTGATGCTCTATGGTGAACAGCATCATGGTTTTAAAGGCAATAAGAAGAGGTAAACTTCCTTCAGAGGGAACCTGCAAATCACGGTGAAGGCATACGAACCCTTGGGAGGTGTGAGATTGACTCCGTTTTTAAGGCACCACTGTATTGGCAAGATCCCTAAGGAATCCGCATGGCAAAGCATGGAGATTTTGCTGGGTTCAGGTCTCAAGTCATCAATGGTCACTTGTAAATAATGATTGTTAAAAACCTAAGGGATGAAAAAGAAGAAAACAAAAATCCAAAGTTAAATTTGCTGTAACATTAGGAAATGGAGAAAGCTGAAACAGCCAGGGCCTGGAAAGACTCCTGAAAATAACCCACTCTCATCTAACACTAATCATCAAAATGTTTCTACCAAAGAGATCAAAGCTTGAGTTTTAGAGTTGGGTAAACTGAGGCAAGGGAAAGCACTGGAGTTCAGGGTCACTCAGTGTGCCCCTAGGTGAGCAGGGACTGGAGGTGATCCTGGAGGTCCCACAGCCTTCCCCTCTCTTGCCTTTGAGAGTATGGATTAAATATCCAGGTACCCCCTCCATCCAGCTGTTTTGTTTCAAAAGGTTTCCCAGATGTGCAGGGAAATATATATACATGGAGAGGAGACAGGGATAAAAGAGGGATTCCCTTTTTCTGCATGGAAGTGGTAGATGGACACGCTCATCCCCATTGGATCTAGGGCCATATATGGTCACTTAGTGATGCTTGTGTGACAGAAACAATTCATTCATCAGGAACATCCATGGATTTTAAACATCTCTCTCCATGTTTTTCCAGCCAATGAAGCACCACTCTTGGGTTTTCTTAAATACGGTGGAAATCAGGAAGAGGTTCCTAATCAGACCCTTTTCAGCCCTACTTTCTGGGAGCTCACCTTGGTCACTGATGCAGGACAGATATGAAACGGCTCCCTCATATTCACCGCCTCCAGCTTCATCCCCACAGTGAAGAAGTGGTTTCGCAAATCAGCATGGTCCTGTAGGAAGAGATGGGGAAGAGGAACACACAGTGTGTCACTGCTGTCCACCAAGGAGAGGTTGATACATTTGAAAATCTACTTGAAATGTGTTCATGCAGGTTTTGTCACTTAGGTAATTAACAGATTGACTCCCCGCTACAACTGAGCACTGCTGGTCCTATGTTCTCTTCACGCCAGCCCAACCACAGAAAAAGAGGGAACAACTTGGCTTCTAGAGGACAGATCTGCAGGACCAAGCCTGTCATATCTAAAGCACAATGTGCATCCATCTCATCAGCAACATCTAACTTGGAACTCCGTCAACAAGCAGATCATGCTCACCAAAATGAGGACCTGTCGAAGAAATGGTGACTTGAAAATCTCCCCTGGGCAGAGCCTCTTCACCTCCAACAGTCACCACCATCTGAGAGAAACTAAAGGTCTAGAGTGTCAGGACTCAGTCTGAGGTCCCCCAGGGTAATGCACAACATAGATGCAAACAACTCAGGATGGCCCTGATCTACCCTGATGGATGTCCAGCTCCTGCAGGGCACCAAAATGAGGACCTCAGCTGGTTTCCACGTACTGCAAGATGGAATGGTGTTTTCTCCAGCCAGGAGATTAAAAGTGGACTAAGGCCCAAACAATTAACTCAGACCAAAAATGTGGGCAAGAAGATACCATGATGGTGGGAAAACATGCAACTGTTCAAGCACTTGCCCACTGCAACACTTTCGCCCAGCTACACCCAGAGGGTTGCACACAGCAGCTTTGGGGATGGCAGCAGGATGCAGTCCGAAAACTCAGAAGCAAACCAGGTTCAACTCCCTGATTTGCCATCAGTTTAGTATTTAACATCAATACACTCCATCTCTCATGACCCCTGTCTAATAGGTTGGCATCCTAATTCCAGAGTAATGATCATATTTTGTGTTAACTCGACAAAAACATCCCACAGTATTTCTAAACCATCTGTGCATTAGCCAGTACAAACACAAAAAGAGATGATGCTATATTTAACGCACACATTCAGACAACTCCAAAATACACACAGAAAGCTTGCTATCTAATAAGTGGCTAGCACTGTCATTCCCATCTACATTCACTGCTACATGTTGTATTCTTGTTCTAAAATGATATTCTATTGATCCGCAGTTGTATGTCATTGTGCTTTCTTTTCCCAAGAACTGTCTTCGCTTGTAGACTTAACAACTTCTATTTTGGGATCTCACATTCCTGCAAAAAAGGATCTCACATCCCTGCTGCCATTAGAGATAAGGATTTTTACAGGCTCCAACCACAGCTAAATGAATTGTCGTTTTCATCTTGCCAACCTGCAATGTTACAGAGCCTTTTATGTCAGAACCAAAAAGCAGTAAAAAAAAATCATAATGGATTTAGTCTCACAGCTTAAGTATATACTGATGGGACAACTGAGGAAGATTTAGCAATAATGGCCCAAATCCCACTGAACTAACGGCTGAGGAAGGAGCAGACATTCAGGACTCTGGGCATCCTATGGTGTAGCATAACCACCAGCCATACTTCTGCTTACTGGCAGCGGCTTCCATATCATTAAAGCCCCAGAGAGACAGGAGACCATTTCTAGCAGCTTTACACAGAGAATGTTTCATTGAATAGGAGTCTGAACCAGGAAAGAGAATCTGGTTCCTTGTGGATGCCCCATCCCTGGAGGGGTTCAAGGCCAGGCTGGATGAGGCTTTGAGCAACCTGGGCTAGTGGGAGGTGTCCCTGCCCATGGCAGGGGGGTTGGAACTGGATGATCTTTAAGGTCCTTTCCAACCCAAACCGTTCTGTGATTCTACCAGGGATGCACTGGATGGACAGGTCATCACAGAATCATAGAATCAGAACCACCATCCTTACTACTGAAAAGGCTCCAGCTGGGAAAAGATGGTGGCTGTAAAAATCAGACCTTCCTAGCACTGAACTTCAAATCTCCAAAGGCAAAAAGCATCTGGACTGGAGGGCTGCCTCCTCGTGCATGAGGATCCACAACCGGCGTCTCTTAGTCCTTAGGGTGAGGTTGTAAAGAAAAGGCAACTTTGCAAAATGTACATCTGGAAGCAAGCTCACACTGCAGCATCTTCCCATCAAAAGTTCCAGGATTCAACTCACGCTCAGATCCAGCTTCAATATATAATAAGCCAAGATCCACCAAAGTACTTAATCATGTTTATCTTCAAACATGCAAGCAGTTTCATCAACTTTAAGTGATTTGTTGATTGAGACCAAAATATATTGAGACCAAAATATATCGAGACCAAAATATATTGCTTCTCACTTTTATTTGAATCAGCTTCTTTTGTTCTTCTCCTTCTATTTCTTTTGGCCTTTTTCAAGGGGAAAAAAATAATTAGGTTGGGGGGGGGGGGGCGGGGAGGAAGGTAATAACATTTAAAGCTATTTTATTTCAAAAACATATCCCCTTTTCTCCTCACGCTATGCACCTTAGGATCAAATCTCCCTTCTCATTCAGTGTAGCGTGTAAACAACTTCCCTGATAAATTAATAGCAAGAGTGAACTCGCAAGAGGAGTTCATGGGATCTCAGGTATGTCTCCTTTTTGAGGGTCAAAATCCCCTTTGAAGCAGGAGCGTACATTTGTTTGGAGAAGGGCTGCGGAAGTAAAAAAGCTTGTCTGTGTTAAATGTCATTTTTGAGATGGAAAAGCTTTCATGGAGAAAAAGCCTTTGTATTGCACCTCTCTGGCAAATGGTCAGGGTCTGGATATTTGATCTCTCTCGTATATTTGCTAAAGAGAGGCACAAAAATTTACCAAAGCAGCCTTAGACTTTTGCAGCCACAAAAGAAAAAAAAGATCCTGGTGCCGTTCTCCAGTTCCAGTGCTGGAGTTGCCTCAGCCAGAAGGGAATTACTTAGGATTTGGCATATGCTCCTCTTCAAAACTCCAATTAATTTACATAATTTCTAAGAATAGGTTCGACAGAAGTGAAGGCAAAGCTTTTAATTAGTATTAGACTCAAAGTGATACACTGGATAATGAACTGCTCTCTCTTCCCTTTATTCACATTGACAGGAAAGGCGCCTGGTTAATAAAAGCAGCTACAAGAAGAGGACTGGAGGGGTAAGAATTTCCACTAGTCCCCACCAGGCTCCGCAGCCAAGCAAAAGAAACGCCTGAAATGATTATGGGTGGCAGAACCCGACCCTTTACCACTATTTCATGGCATTCAAAGCTACCTACGAGGATTTCACCAGCCATTATTTTCTAGCAACTTCTCCAAGTTTCAATTTTCTTTGAAATGCAGATGAAGAGACAGAATATTTTTGACTGGTTGTAGCATTTTATAACCTCGTGCGTGGTGAACCTTTACTCCTGTTGACAGTCAATGCTTCCCAGGAGCAGCCCGACTGACCACACAGATTTACACCAGCAGATTGCCTGACTCAGGGTTCACAAGCCCAAAGTGGGTGATGGAAATACCCTCTGACTGCTGGCGAGCAGTTAAGCTGGATCAACAATCCAAAAGGATGCAGAAGAGTCCCTTACAGCAAAGTGAAAAATCACACCACGGAAAGTACAACGAATTAACACAGTACGAGCACCACAGTCGCTCGTTCAAAGGGTCACAATCCCTAACGTGATGGATTACAGCCCGCGACAGCACTCATGGGTAATGAATGGAAAATTGCATAACCCTCCGCTGAGCGTCTCTCACTTACAGCCCAAACCCACTGGAGAAAGCCAGAGCTGTCACAGCTCTCGCTACAAACCCCAAGAAGCAATTAAACTCGGCCCCACACTCAACAGTTTTAGAGCAGTCTCCATTTGCAAATTTGCCAGCGTGCACGGGTTGGGACCCTCCGGGCCACCTGAAAGACAGCCCCACTTTGATACACATCTGCCTTCATACAGCATGTGCTTCTGCAACCCTCCCGCAGAAATACTGATGGGCTTTGTAACAGCTCCTTGCTACCAGCATCACCTGTAGGGCTGAAAGATGGAACGTCTGAAAGTCAAAGAACAATGGTGCTGGGAAGAGAACCAGGCTCCTAATTCCCAACCCTCTTCTTTACTGAACGAGTTGTATAATAATCTAAGGAGCCACTAGCAATGCAGATTTCAAAACCGTCAGGTGACTTGGGAGCCTAAATATCATTCCAAAAGAGACACATAAACAGATTTACAGAAGTATTTAGACTCTTAAGGATGCAGACAAGCTTTAGGGAAGTACCTATGTGGGTGACATGCTTAAGTCCTAAAGAAAGAGTCACTAAGCACTGGCTTTAGGTCTTGAACTCAAAAAGGTATACTTCAAAATCATCATAGTAATTTGCCCTTTCTGGTGCCTTGCTAAATCTGGCTTCTGAGTATTTCTACTCCAAAAGAAGTCATTTGCATTATCTTCTGATAGTTAAATCATAGAATCATAGAACGGTTTGGGTTGGAAAGGACCTTAAAGATCATCAAGTTCCAAACCCCTGCCATGGGCAGGGACACCAATGCTAATTTTTAGCCCATTCTGCTCAAGATAGAACACTGGAGTCATCTCATCGTAAACCCAGCAGCTTACGCAGTGTCTAGATAAAAGGAAAAGGCTCTAATTTACCCTCTAATTTTCAGATATCCTAAAAGTCAGGGCTCTTTTGGTCCAGGATAGTCAGATTCACACCAATGATAAAACGTGTGTCATCTTTGTGCAAAATTCAGAACTAAGTCCGAACGCTGAAAAGCTGCAAAGTTGAGAGGCTGATTAGAAACACTGAGCATTTAATAAATGATTGACAGGAGCCTCCTTTAATCCTCACCAACTGTAACAGTATGAGATGCTATTGCCTTCAGTCACATCTCTCCTGGTTTACCCTACTGAAAGACACAGAAGAAGTGGGCCCCATCTGCTATGATTGGAAACATATTATTTGATTCAGTTTTTGTTTTCAAAGAAATCGCTTCCCCCAGTGTTTTCTCTAATTCTCCAAGAAACTGGCTGCTTCTAATAGCCCAATTTTAATCACAAACCTCATGTGTGGTA